CAAAGAAGATTATGTTACATTATAATGAATTCAATAACTATAAAATTTGTTTGTATATTAAGTTACAAGGTATTCTTACTCATAGCATACACGTTCATAAAAAGAAAATATCATCATTAAAAATAGAATGAAAACTTTTGAAGTTTTTCATTATATATATGATTTTATATAAACTGTAATTTTGTATTAAAATAATTCTCAGTTCAAATCCAATCTAGAAAAAGAGCATTTGATAATATTTTTTCTTTAATTAGTGATTTAATTTAGATGGTAGTATTTTATACTGTAAAAATTAAAGAATTTATCATAGGCCTAAATTTATTAAAACACATCAGTTTGAATTATATGTGTAGTTCTAATTTGCTCATGTTTGGTATAATCATTATGAATTGTTCATTCTGCTGAATATGCTACCTCACCTATTTCTAAGCCAGTACCTTGGCAGAGTTTGACTCAAGGCAGCTTTGGAACACAGGAGAAATAATATAATTGTGTGTCCCAGCTGTTACTATTAATCTAATTATGAAGTCACCTTTTCCAGAGAGTCACGAAGGGGTTGGAAGGGACTCCAGGATGTGGTCTAGTCCAATCCTTCTGCTCAGAGCAGGGTCAGTTACAGCAGGGTGCTCAGGGTTGTGTCTCTGGTAAACAAGCTCCTGAATATTGTTTGACCAGCCTCAAAGTAGAAGTTTATTCTTGGATTTTAAAGGGAATTTTTTATATTTCGTTTAGTTCTCCTTGCTTCTTGTCTTGTCACTGAACATCGCCAAGAAGAGTCTGGTTCTCTCTTCTTTACTTCCTCCCATTGCATATTTGTATGCATTGACAAGAGCCTGCACGAGCCTTCTCTTCTTCAGGTTGAACAGTCTGAGGTCTCTCAGCCTCTCTTCACATCTGAAGTCTCAAGCCTTAGAGGGGAAGGATCATATCTCTCAACCTGCTGACAATTCTGTTTCTAATGCAGCCCAGCATGCTGGTGACATTCTTTGCCACAAGGGCACATTGCTGGCTCATGGTCACCTTATTCCATAACAGAACCTATTCTGCAAACTTGCTTTGCAACAGTCAGTCCCCAGCATGTACTAGTGCATGAAGTTATTCGTTCCCAGGGACAGGACTTCACGTTTCCTTTTGTTGATCTGCGTGACGTTCCTGTCTGTTCAGCCTGTTGAGGCCCCAGTCAGCACAAATTTAAAGAGATAATCAATAGTGGCTTCACAATATTAGCCAACTTATTCCCTCTTTGCAGCATCCTGAACTTCACCATCTCATACTCACTGCAGCCAGGGCTACTCCTGACATTCATATCCTTGCTTGGCTCTTGTTTATAAAAGTATGAGGCACAGCAGAGCTACCTTCATCATCTCCTTGATTACCTATGTCAGGAAGTTATCAGGGCACTCTGTAAACTTCCTGGATTGCTTGTGTCCTGCTGTGTTGCCCTCCACAGGGTTAAAATCCCCATAAGGACTAGACCCTGTGAATGTGAGGCCATTTCTAGCTGATTTCATTGACTTCTTGACCCTGATCAAGTAGTCCAGACACAAAGTATAATATTGGTAGCTGTGGGCTGACACTGGGCTTTCCACTAATCATGACCAAATAACTCTTACTTGGCTCCTCACTTGAGTGAGCTTTCTCTATTCCTGCTACTCACTCATATAAAGGGCATTTATATAGTCATGGGGGAAAACACAGAGTGATAGAGCATGGCTCCTGCTGTGTGGAGATGCTTGTGCTGTTATATCTCGTTAAAGTTAATGATAGCAGGGGCTTCCTTTTATGAAAAAATTCCACATGCTTGATGTCACAAACCTTAATTGCTTGATTCCACTCCCATCCTGAGTTCTCTAACAGCTTCAGGAAAGCATCAGGACCTGATCCATCTTGCTATAAAAGAATCCTGTTTACTAAAGGTTCATTTATCTTTTTGCTATTACTGGAATGTCTTTGATGCAACATCCCAAGACCTCATTGCTGTGCCTTTTCAAGGGCAAGAAAAGAAATTCCTTCAATGTACAATGTGACTGACAAATTTTCAGCTTCCCTAGATACGTTCATTCATTCCAGCAAAAAGCCTTAATTAGAGTGGGAGAAATATATTGACCTCTTGTGCATCTTAATCAATCCAGGTTCATGGGACCACAGAGAGACTACTTTTATAAATAGGAAAAAGAGGGGGCTGTTTGTCATTAGTTTTCTGAATCTTACATTTGTGTTTCTCTCCTGTTAAGTTTGCTGTACCTCTTCTGAAATTGCTTTGCATCACTATTTATCTTGTTTTGACATTTATTTGCTTACCATTTTGTTCCTCCACAGTTCAACAGCACAATTCAGAAAAACTGAATTTTTCATTAATTTTTCTTCTTTTATCTTACCTTTCATTTCCAGATCTCCCTGCCATCTCTTTGCATAATTACTCCTTCCTTTTAAATCTGCAAAAAAGTCTATCTTTTTGACCTTATTTTTTCTCTCATGTCCAAAACATTTCCTAATATTTTTCATTTGATCTTGCTATTTCTTTCAGTGCAGAATGCCTGACATCTGCTTTTCCTGTACAGTTCTCTCTTTCTTCCTCTTCCTTTCACTTCCTACCTACCTTCCTTTAGTTCTCCTTTTCTACTTATCACCACTATACTTCTGAATTTCTTTATTTTTACCTTGCACAACTTTCCTTTCTTCCTTTAAATTGCTCTCTTTTCTTTTGGGATTTGTTTTTCCACTGTTAATCCTTTCTTTGAAGGTGCATTTAGGATTAAATCAGACTGATTTTAAAGCGGCAAAAGCAAGTCATAGACATCTAGGAGGTTCCACCTGCTCAGAGACAGCACTCTGTCCCCCCATTTCACTTCTAAGGTCCTTCATGCCACTCTGAATGCTTTTTGTCTTTTTTTTTTTTTTTTTTCTCTTCCTTGTGGCTTTATTAACATAGACTATCCCAATCTTGCAGTTGGGGTTTTTTGTTTGTTTGTGTTTTTGTTTCTCCTGGTTGGTTGGTTGGTTGGTTGGTTTATCTTTGGTTTTTTCCTCTCTTGTTCCCATGTCACTCCTTGTACTTCCTCCATTCAGGTCGTATTTTCTTGCACACTTCCTACCTATTACCATGTGTTTTGAATGGGTGACTCTTTAGATTTTCTTAGGTTTCTCTTTTCCGTAATTCACTTCCTCTGTTTCACCTTTTTTTTTCTTAGAGTAGACAGTGAGACTCTTTCTGCATTTTGGAAAGAACCAGTCCCAAAAGTTCCTCACGTCACCTGGAAACAACTAGTGTGGAAAGATGATTATGCCTCTGATGTGTTATGTATATGAGGTGTCGCATCGTGATGTGACACAATATCCTCCAGGCTCAAACGTCGCTCTCCCCAAATGACAGCAACAGATAGATAAGGATGGTCCCAAAGTACCCTTCCTTTCTAATGTGCACGTGCTGTTCTTTCTGTCCATTTTAAAGTAGAATCCTTTCTGTAACAAACTTACAACCTCATCAGGTTCACTGCAGCTTAGGAGATAGTATATCAGATCTTAAAAAATTTAACAGTGAACAGAAAAGAGCTGGTTGATGTCTTCAGCATTGGCTAAGAGATATAGTATATGCATACTGTTATATCTGAGTGAGCAGTTACATATTTGAAGGTGTACACTTTGATTTTGATGGCATTTACTATTTATTTAACAGACCATAACTCCTCCAAACAAGCCATTATAGTCAGTTATGAATATCTGAACTTAAACACTTACTGAAAAGTGGATTTCTTGACATGATATATGGAGTCATTAAGTTCTACAATATAAGTACTTTGTGCCATACTTAGTTTGCAGATCACTAGAGCAGTTGTCTGCTCTGAGCCAGTCTCTGCACTGTGCATATGTGTTGTCATAGGAACTGATTTTAAAGTTGCAGAGGAGAATAATTGCTAGTGAAGCATCAAATTCAAAGTATCAATAGTATGAGCATCATAACTTCTTTCTGATTAGTTAAGTCTTAGTTTACTTTTTAACTTTCCCTTAAAAATAATTGCAATAATGCTTTTGGAATGTTTGAACAAAAAAAAAACATAAGGTGGTAATTTTTACTGATTTAACACTGATAAAGTTTATAGGTCTTCTAAGTGAAGGAAGGTCTTCTGGTTTGGTTTTAATAAAAGAAAAATGGGTAATTTATCTTTACTGTGTTATATATTTTTGGAGTAGTAGCTTCATAATGCCAACACCTAATCATCTCCCAACACTTCTGTAAACAACACAGATTATCAGCATGTATGATTCCTTCTGAAGACCTCCAAGTAGCTTCTTCAAAGTAATAATATATGACCATCAGTAAAGCCTTTTTCCTGCAGTTTTAATCTGCATGCATCTTCTTGACCATGGGCTTCAGGGACACTGAAGACTGTTGCTTTTTTTAATCTTCATACTTGTGATCAAAGGGGTCCTTCTTAACTGTAGCCTTTCTCATTACTAAAAGATTTTTAAAATAATTTTACTTTATCTGTGTATAAATGCTCAGGCACCATTTAGAGGGGCCCTAAAGTGAGTTCTTTGAGTCACACAAGTTTTCTTATAAAGTCTGAGTTTCAGCAATGACCTTTAAAAGAAATGATTTCCTATACATTGGATATGTCTGGTGGGCAGTTAACTCTTTTCCTAGCAGCCCATAGGGTGATGTATTTTGGATCTGTGGCTAAAATTGTTGTTAACACATCAATGACTCCCCATCAATGAGCCCATCAACAGGCCAACCCACTGCAACCATGACAGTCAGGCTAAGGGAAAGTCCAGTAATCTTAGACAAAGTTGAAAATCTCTTGCCACAGAGAAATAAAAAGTGTGCGACTATCAATTCAGTGCTGTCAGTGCTGCGTGTCAAATAATTATTATGGTCAAGGAACCTGTTTTGTGTAGTTTTATCCTATTACAGATTACATGACCTCTCCTAGATGTGAGTATTGCAGAGCACTGAATGCTTTGCTACTTAATATCAGCTTTTTCTCTCTTGTTTTTAGCCCCTTGTGAAGCCAACGCATTCTTTTGCCATAGTAATATGTGTATAAACAATACACTGGTCTGCAACGGACTCCAGAACTGTGTGTATCCCTGGGATGAAAACCACTGCAAAGGTAATGTGTAGGATTGAAAAAGCCAAATCATTTACACTGCATGAGATGCAGCAAATGATCCTCAGTTTCTTGTAAAGTATATGCCAGATGTGTGAAAACTCAGGAAGAGTAATTCAGGAAGAGCATACATCAAGCAATAGAGAAAACAAAGGGAGGCAAAAAATGGCAATGGATTTTACTTGCAGTGTTTACATTCATTATGTGTGGTGTTGCATTGTTTACATTCTTCTGGCTGGTTATATGCTTCTGGGAGGCTTTCTGATCACTTGGTTTCTGTTTTCCATACAGTCTAAAGTATAATTAAAAGTAATGTTTCGGTTCATTTGTCATATGTACTTTTGTAGTGGAGTTATGGATGGGCAGCAGGTGTCTTTTAGTTGCGTGCTATGCCCATAATAGCCCGTGTGGTTTTAAAAGCCAAGGTGAAGTGAAATTAACACTGCAAGAAAGCAAAGAAATCCACCTATAATCAAGAGAAATTGAAGAGCAAGAAACAAGCACAGGAAATCAGGTGTAATGTCTGTTTCATAGGGAGGGAGGGATGTTCCTAACCATGTGTTGACAACGGTTTCTACATGTTGCTGTGTTTCTGGAAAAAAAAAAAAAGTCAGCATCTGTGTTGTCTGCAGGGAAAGAGCTTAACTAACTTACATTGCAGGCTTGGGAAACAGTTTGCTTCCCTCCTGCCCACCCCCATCCACCCCCATCCCCCCCGATGCAGATTTGTTCCTGGAAACATGGGATATGCCAAATTTAGGAACCAATCAAGAAAAAATTCAGAATGAGGTGGATTAGTACTCAGCCCATAAGTCTGCTGAAGCCTGTAAAATCCTGACAGGCAGTGCAATAGGGTAAAACACAAATGAAAGCATACTTCAAAAGAACACAGCTAAACTGTGCCATAACATAATATTCTTCAAAGAAATTAAACATAAAATTGGGAAATAATTATTCATTCTTTAGTTCTTCAGAACAGAGGAAAAGAGAAAACCTTCATGACTCTTAATTTCCAGAATGATTTTCATCTTCCTTTTGCCAAGTATCTTTTTACTGGGTCTTGTGCCTTTATCCTCTCTTTTTTTTTTTTTTTTTTTCCTAACTGTGAAAAGAAGGTTTGCTGATGCCAGCAAAAAAAAAAAAAAAAAAAAAGGTTGTTTGCTGCAGTGCTGCTTTTTCTAAGTCTGCTTTTTCTCCAGAGTCTGTGTCAGTCAGTTAGAAAAACACTGGGTAAGAGTAGGCAATGGGGAGTACTGAAAAGTTAATTTTTGGAATCTAGCAGATTCTGAAGAGATGGATGTTACTGTTTTGGTGCCAATAACTTTCATTTCAAAGGCTTTTTGTTAAGTTCTTTGATATATTTTAGGTTACCAAGAAAAATTACACTAAACTGGGTGTTGAAACTTAATCACAGTTGTCGAGTCTTGCTATGCCTGAGAGAAAAAGATGAGAATGCTTTCACTGGAATTTCTGCAAGGCTCAGTCACCATCTCATGTGCCTGCAGCCATTTGAAAGCAAATCACAGAGAGAGATGCACAACTGTAGGGTGACACTGGTTTTGTTTTTATTATTTTATTGCATATTTTTGTTTATCATCATTCACAATGCAGAATTTGTTGACTAACCTATTAGAGACCTTTGAGTAAAGGGTAGTAGACATGATCAGCTCTTGTGTATTTATGGGTGTTTAGAAAAGTTTTGGTAATGAATAAAAAAAAAAGAAATAACTTGCACCAATTTGGTTTTTTCTTTTCTGAAATCTCAGTTTGAATAACTTTTCTATTTTCTCCTGATTTAGCTTTTTCATTGAAGGCTGTCAAAAGTCCCAGTCAGCTCACAATTACTAGGACTTCACCACAGTTCACAACGCAAAGAAGAATTTCTTTTTAAATCCTGTAAAATCTTGTTCTTTCATTGGTCCTAATGTCCTAGTTGCATATGTTTACTGAAAGGGACAGAAAATAATGAAGAGAACATCTGTAACAGTCTTGGGGGCTTTAGCAGGCAAATGAAGTTCAGAGGTGACACTGAAGCCATCTGCTTGTTACGGTGGTTGCTTTTTATAAAAAAGCATATATAATTCTTGCCATTAATTAAGCTTGCAATATACCTTGAATAAATAACTGTCCAAGTGAATAGGCACACAGAGGACTTGTGTGTTGTTTATTTGGCTTTCATGAATACCTGATTTCTTTCTCTTTTCTCTTTTGTTGGTGAGATTGATTAAGTGAACTCAGACATATACTAGGCTCAGCTTTGTAGTAATCTGTGAACTCATCATGGTTGTTTTTATTCCTGAACTGCAATTAATGCTGTGCCTTTTTTTTTTTTTTCCTACTGTCACACAGAAAAAAGAAAAGCTAACCTATTGGACCAACTTACCAATACCAGTGGGACTATAATTGGGGTGACTTCTTGCATTGTGATCATCCTCATTGTTTTATCTATTATAGTACAGATCAAGCAGCCTCGTAAAAAATTTGTCCAAAGGAAAACAGACTTTGATCAAAATGTGTTCCAGGAGGTGTTTGAGCCTCCTCATTATGAGTTATGCACCCTCAGAGGGACAGGAACTACAGCTGACCTTGCTGATGTTGCAGATGACTTTGAAAATTATCATAAACTGCGGAGATCCTCTTCAAAATGCATTCATGACCATCACTGTGGATCACAAGTGTCTAGCATTAAGGGCAGCCGTAGTAACCTCAGCACAAGAGATGCTTCTGTCTTGACAGAAATACAACCCCAACCTGTAAAACCACTTGTTCAACCCATGAACAGGAGAAATATCCTTGTCATGAAGCATAGCTACTCACAAGATGCTGCAGATGCGTGTGAGATAGACGAAATTGAAGAAGTACCAACCACAAGTCACAGGCTGTCCAGACATGATAAATCTGTTCAGCGGTCAGTATCAATAGATTTTTGATGAAGACTATTGTGTAAGGACTTGATTGCCCAAACATATGCCCTCTTTATTCAGTAAAGACTTTTTTTTCTCCTTTCCTTATTGTTTAAATTTCTGTTTCCTGATAGCACATACCATTACACTATTTCTCTTCCTGCCTCTCTCTCATCTCTCCTCCTTGGTTCCTGAAGGATCCTGTATCTCAGCTTTACATATCTACTTCATTTCTTCTTTTTGTTTTTACTATTTTGCACATACCCACATGCATACATACACAGACCAACAGAGAACAGGTACAATTTTTAAAAACCAAAGAAGATTGTGTGAATTTAGTTTTTGGAAAAGTTTCCTTGTAACTGAGGTGGCCTTGAGTATAATCCACTGTTGATCTAACCATCTCTAAATCAATACATCAGTAAATAAAAAATACATGTATCCATTTTGGTGCATGACACAAGAATGAGAATCACAATCCTGGGGTAAGGAAACTCCTTTTATCAAGAAACATTAACTTTTATATAATGAATGAAAATATTTTCAAATTTTAATATATCTGTTCAATTATTAATCACAGTATTTTTGTTTGTCATACTAAGATAGATAGACAAATTAGAACATGAGGCACCATAGTGAACTCATATATTTACATATAAGAATGAAGTTAAAAGGAACCTTTGCTTTCAATAAAAAAGTAAAGTTAGCATGATATTTTTAATAAAAGAGCTATATTTTCAATATATTGCACTGATTGTAAATATGAATGATTAAAAGTTTACAAGTAAAAGAAAAACAAAAGCATTTATGAGCAATTCATTTAAAAACCACACATAACCTTTTTTAATATATTTTTGTTTTCTCTTGCATGCATTATTTATGGATTTCTCTTGAGTGTTTACATGCCCTCCATATTTTCTTTGCACATTAAGGCATTTCTGTCTCTTTTAAAAAAAAGTTATTTGAAAATTTAAATCTAACTGCATGCCTATGTAAATTATTTCATGAATATAGATCAGTTCATCAAAGTGTACTGTTTATTAAGTACGTATATGCATATATTTCTTCTTTTCTATGCAAACACTATTACTTTGAATGAAATAGCCATAACATTCCAGGTTCTGCCTCATTGGGTCTCTAAGCAAACATGAGTCTGAGTACAACACCACTAGGGTCTAAGAGACAAACCTGAGGTAAGTAAACTTATCTATACAAAAATTGAACCATCTGTTGCTTTCCATTTCATTTGTTGTTTTTCTGAAATGCTTATTAGGTCTCAAACTGTATATCACCTTGTATGGAGAGAGCCAGGGTTGAATACTAAGATAACTGAAAGACAGATGACCACTTTAACATTGCAAACTAAGCAAAATTTGTTTCTTGTTTATTCTTGACAGTACTGTAATCAGCCCCAGCTAAATTCAGTCTTCATTCCAAACACATTATAAAGTCAGGCACTTTGCATGGTTCTTCTGTTTCTTTTTTCTTATTTATGAAAATAAAATTTAGAGTCCCAGCACGTGAAATAGTACGTAAAACTTGGCAATCTAACTCAGGTCAGTAAGATGTAGAACTAGCTGCTTTTGGTTGTTGGGGGAAGATTATGTGAAGAGTTGGGGGAAGAGTATGTGCTAGTACTGGTAAGTTTAGAGATTCTGTAGCATTGATGTTAATGTTTTCAAATTAAACTTACTTTTTTGAGTCTTTTCCTAGACTTTTCATTTTGCATAATTTTTATCAGCACTTAATCTCAATAAACATAATCTCAGATGTTGATGATGGATTTATAGATAGCTGCTAGTCTTTCAATTTACATATGTGTATATATAAACATAGATATGTGTATATACATTTTTATGTGTATATATGTATAAAGCAATTTTACAGTGAAAGAATCCATTAATGGTTTTATTGCTTGTAGATAGATTAAGTAAATATTTTTCTTCATTTTTTCTTCAGAGAACATATTTTAACTTTTTTTTTTTTTTGCTTTCAGACAACTATTCATGCAGTCATGAAAACTCTGAATGGAAAACTTTATAATGAATTATCTCAGCTGTCTGAAATAGTGGAAAATTTTCTAATTTAATTTCATTGCCTTTATGCAAATTTAAGAAATATAGGCATATCTTAATTCCTTAGCAAGATACTCCCATTGCACAGTAATATATTTCTTTTGCAATTTTGTTGCTGGCCACCAAGTGCTCCTTAGTTATTAAATATATTTGGAGATTTGCTACAAACTTGAGGAAGAAATTAGCTCCTATGACTGACCCTTTTTTTTTTTTTTAATCATAGTTTTATTTAAGTTTATATGTTTTATGTCTGGTTTCTACTTGTATGTTTTGTGATATGTGAAAGAAGATTTACATTGAACTTTTGTTATATGTACATTGTTTTCATTATATAGACTGCTTGAGAATAGTGCGCTCCTGGGTGATTTTGAACATGCTACAATGAAAGGTGAAACTATCGTCCTTGGAAACACCAGCTAGAGGTTTTATGGACTCTCTGACCAGCTATTCTCATGTCATGACAAAATTCAGCAATCAGTGTTGAGTAAAATTACTAGAAGGCAATAAGACTTTGGTTATTATGGTTATCAGTCATTTCTCTTTTTCTTTTTCTCTCTTTCTTTTGTTAAAATTTAAATTCCCAATTTCAGGAACAATTTATTGAAATCAGGTATTTAGCCATTCATAATCACTTCAATAGAAGCGTTTGTTGGATAAGCATCTAGCAATATGACTGAATTTGACATTGAGAAATTAATCTGCATGTTTGTTACTGAATATTTGAGTTGGCAAAAATCCCTTTATTAGATACATTGTAAAAAGCATGCATTCACAATTATTGCTGTTACTGTTCCATTTCTGTGTCATATGCTTGCTACTTGTAATTTTTTATATAAAAATACATAAAAAAATGTATAATAATTTCGTACCTTGAGTTTAATGGCAATGTTTTCTTTTACCTAATTTATCAATACTGTGTAATTTGTGAGATTGAGCTCAGAAAGTATCTTCTAGGAACTTGAAACCCAGATACAGAAGGAAATCATCTGTCTCTCATCCCTCACTTACTGAAAAGCAAAATACATTATTTTTTTGAGATTTAAATGGATTCATAATACATAAAGCTGATCACTTAATTTCAGTTCAAACATTTGTGATAAACAGGGTGTTCTGTACTCTTAATTAATTAATTTCCATGATAATTATTAAGAATTTTGTTTCAGTGTGGTAGGGTGGTACATATTTATCAGTTGCACAAATGTTGCGTCTAGGTTCCGATTTTAGAAATACAGATATAAACCACTTCCTTATGCAAGATAAATTATATTTGTAATTCAAGCTACATACATTAGCAACTGACACCAAAATTACAACTAAGTTATAGGTTGAAAAGCCACAATTATGTAAAGTTAAAAGTCCTCATATTTAAGAACTCAGTAACCATGCATAAAATGCATAGTTTCATTATCTATTTAAAGTGTTATCTTCCAAATTCTGTTGTAAAACAAATCCCAGTTCCTTCTTAAACATCTTGTGTCATTCATGGATGCTAGGTTTCTCTATAGAAAAATGTTGCTAGATTTATTGAGAAAAACTTAAAGAATTGCATGTATCTTCCCAAAGTATAAAAAGATGGGAAAATAGAAAACCTAAAAGACTGGCATAAAAAAGTAAGGTGATCTGTATGAGCTATTTAAATATATAAGACATAATTTGTATAACTAAAAATACAGAAAATTTGATTTCTACAAATATGATTTAGGACTGATATGAAAAGTTGAAGGGTTTCAGGTATTTGACTACTTTTTTTGTACACTATATTTACAGTATATTTTGCACCACTTGTTTTTAGCTTGATTAAATTGTTTGCTATCACATATTAGCTGCAAAAAACACTCCTCTGTCCTCTGCAGTCATTGAGAGTCATTGAGGCATCCCTCAGTTACAAGGGTTTGTAACATGCACTAATAGTTCATTTCCAGATCAATATCTCTTTACAGTTCATATACTTTATCACTGCTTTTTCCCTTAATCCTCATCACCCTTTCATAAGTATATTATGTTAAGATATTTGCCACATCCATTTTAAAATAAAGGAAGAATGGAAGACTTGTTAGGAGAAGTGCATATACAGCCAAACACATTTATGCATATTTATAAAGATTTGCTAATGGAGATAGTGTATAAATAAATATATAAGGAGTAATCTAAATATTAATTTAGCTTTGGATGAACTGTATTGGTTTCAGAAAAATGCTTAACTCTTGGTTTTTAAAACTGCTATATATTTAAGTGCCTAAATCCCCTGAAACACAGGTCTAGTCCCTCCTGGACAAGTTCACAATAAAATTAATTTTAAGATTTGTCCAGTGAAGTGCTGACTGAAAGAACTGAACTGGAGAAGACATGGATTTTAATAATTACATTGCATGCACATCTTTGTTTTTTTTTTTAAAAATACCTAATTGTGCCACAGAAAAAGAAGGGAATAACATAAAAACCTGTGTACATAGAGCAAGTCAAACAAAGTTAGAAAGGTAATACTTACTTGATTTTGGAAACTCCTTTAGAAATATGTTGTCTAGTAGCTAGGCATACCCTTAAACAGAAACAGCATTGTAAATTACAAAAGATCTGTATGCTGGGGAACAGGGTCAATTTATATCTATTAACAATATAAAGGAAAATAAATTCAAACCCAGATTGAATATTGTAATTGAAATATTATGTTTGAAATATTCAATTCCAAGGAATTAAATGCTTTATATAGTCAGTAAATAATAGCCTAGTCCACTATATTGCAAATAGGAAAAAAAAGTATTATCACATAATATCACACAATAGTAGGATATCTTAATGTAAAACTCAAAATATTAAAATAAAAGTAGTTATTGCTGGAAGTAAACAGCTTTCCTTTCCTATGAGTATTTTCTATTATTATGAAGCCACTCTTTTAAAAACAAAAGGCAGTTCAAACAAGCTTTCTGTTTATGGAAAGAAATACTGGCTTGTTAAATTAACAGTATATGTGTTAATGCTGTATAACAACTCAGTAATTCACAGTGAATTAGCTGAGCTGGTAGTCTTGGCTTCATGTAGCCTTAGCTATAACTAAGAATGGTATTTACTAGATCATTTTGGTTTGAGTGGTGCAGCGTGTTTGATCTACAGTTATGTTGACAGTATGTTTATTTCTCATATACTTTTTAAACATTAGGTTTTGTTGTAGTGCATTGCAATATTGTTCATAGTTTTGTGTTTGTTTTGGTTTTTTTCTGCCCCCATAGGTGTAGTGTTACGTATGTGCTTTTCTTTTTGTATGATAGTTGTTGAACAACCACTCCCAAACATTTTTTCTCTGCTCCAGGAAATATGACCTTTTCAGTTTGTGAAGTCTTTTCTGCAGCATCATTTAAAAATCCTTTTGTAAAGTCCATTTTGTAAACTATTCTCATTTATAGCTTTTCTCTCTTCATAATTTCTTGAAGAAAAAAAACACACACCATTCTGATAAATGTTAGTACCTTATTTTTCTATTTTTCCCAGTTTTTATGCTGGAGATACTGTCTTGAACCTAGCAATAATGTAATCACTGAGAGGGAATAAGAGAAAGTAGAAAGGTTTCCTGCTCAAGAGAAATTGCTAGAACAAAACAAACAAACAAACAACAGGTAAAGAAAAAAAACACAGAAAGGTATCATAATTAGAAGAGTATGAAGTATCGTTGCTCATACACATTTCCAAATTTGCAGACACATATAGGACAGATTAATTCTTTGCCCACCAAATAAAAATGTACTGTCCATGTCCAGCTCCAAGAGACAGGATACCTGTGCTTTATAGAATACTCTCCTACAGACAAGAAGTTGGCCTTTTGTGTTTTTGTGTTGTACTTTATGTGTGTCTCCCTTCTGCCACAAAGATATTCCAGCTGAGGGTGCACAGCTGAAGTCCTAAGGGATACTAATGGACAAAAACTGCACAGGTCCTTTGAACACAGAAGTCTGTATCTGATCTGAAAGTATTTTATCTCCTCACTCCTGACTCAGCATTTGATGTCTAGTCTTGGACTCATGACTCCATTGCTCTTCTTCATTGTTACCTCAGGATCATCTCTCTTTACTCTTTGATGATCACTTTACATCTTTATCACTGCTGCCTTTCATTTCTGCCCACAGTGAGTTTAGTTCTGTTCCCATCTCTCCTCAAAATTCACTGAAAATGCTGAAATCCTACCAGCTCACTTACCATTTGCTGCTGTTGCATTCCACCTAGCTCTTTCCCATCAATCACTTCAGAGCCATCTTAATTGTACCTTGCCTATAAATAGCAAAATGAAAACATGAGATCTCAGCATATCCTGATCACCCTTAATTCATGTAGCGCAACAAAAGCTATGAAGGTGCATTGGAGTGGACTGGAGTATGGGCTCATTAGGGGTACTGGATTTGTATTTTAACGACTGTGCATCAGTGTTGTCTGGGCTGTCTACTTCTGGGTTGACATGTCTGCTCCTGTGCTAGCCATACCTCATTGTGCATCCATCCTTTTTCTTCTCATAGTTTACACTATTTTCAAATAATTTCCAGCCCTTCTGTGTTTCCTTATCTGCTTTATTTATATTAGTGTGTACCACCACACAACATAAATCCTTGTCTTAGCCTCCTTCACATACCTATTGAAACAGTGCCTAGCCTGGCAAACATCTGCTAGTGGTGTGGCAGAGCTATAAGCAGTGTGGTAAGAACATCAGCTACCAGGAGAAGCAGGAGTTGCTGCTTCCATGCATTTTCTTTGAACTGTGCTGATCCACAATCTCCCAACAAGGTCACTCTGGGAACAAAGGGAAGCTGCTCTCCCCTTCAAGCAATGAATCGTAACTAGGAGTAGAGAGACAATTTAAGAAGCCAATGAAGAAAAATGGAAAGAACGATACTGCTCAGATTTTTTTACCAAAGTAACAGGCCCAAGCAAAACTGTGCAGCAGCATTTTATCTCTTCATTCTCAGATAAAGAAAGACTGCAATTCAAGCCTTGTTTTTCCCAGGGAGAAGGATGCCACAACTGTGAGTACTGACTCTATCCAGAATCTGGAAAGACTTAACAGTTTCTTGTGTAAATGTAGGCAGACAAGGACTTACAGGGCCTATGAGGGTAATCTTGTGCTGCCATACATAGCATCTGCAACACCTAGTTATTTAGATCTTTTAAGTTTTCTATTCTTCAGTTGATTCTCCTCAGCTCCAGTGAGATACATAAAAAACACGCTCAACTATTTAAAATACGGTAGCTTTACTGGAAAGCAATTACTTGGTATTTAATTTAGTTGGATGTGAAAGGTAACTATGGTGCTTGCTGAAGCTGTTGTGGGGAAAAAAAAAAAAAAAGACACTCTTTATGCACAGATCCTGAATAAATATATCTGGTTAAATGAACCATTCAGTTGCATCAACTGCATCAGTAAATAAAAAAGCTGTCCATCCTAGATTTTGCTTATAAAACTGCTTATAAAATTGTTTCAGAGTCTAGTCAAATTCTCCCTCTAGATCCTGCTTTTTTTTTTTCTGAGTTCAGTGAAAATTTTGGTTTGGAAAAATGGTTTCATTGAAAGTGAATGACTTTCCCCAGTTTTAGTGAATCAAGGAATATGATTTATATGGGGAAAGGAGAGCTTCATTCTCATTTCTTAGTGCTAGAGGGGTTTTCAACACGGAGCAGCATAAGCTGCTTTCTCCCTTTGTTTGAAAAATCAGTGATTTAAAAAAAATAATACTCTATACTTAGGTGATTTATGTAAGTTTGAAAAAGGAAGTAAAACAATTAAAAGGAACATCAGAAATCTAAAGTAAGCATATTTTTCCAATGATCAATAAAGCAATAATATTTTAACTTGTAACTGTTAGTTACAAGATTAACAGTTG